TCTTGAACTACCCAAATTAATTATATTATCACTCGGTTCTCGCCGACATTTGTAAAACGCTACAACTCAATGCTACCATGTTCATCGTAAGTGATTATAAGTAATGAATTGTTCCATTGAGGTGAGGCACGCAACGCTTCGTAAATTCTTTTAATAAATTGTTCTCCGTTTGCAACGCTGGAAGGTGGATGCTCGTCATTAGGTTCTACAGGAACGAAGCAAGGCAATCCTGTATAAAAACTGTTTCTTCGTCAGAATTTGATTATAAATGCGCCTTTTTTTCATCAAATTTTAACATGAACTTACGGGTCAACAACACTGTATTGTGGTAGCGTTCCAGCTTTAGCATCCGCAAAGAATTCGTTCAATTTTCTCATCTTCGAAAATCCTGATTCTGTTCGAAGTCTCTTGGATGAGATTAATTCCGGGTATAAAGAATAATAATTTTTCCAAGTGATTTTATTCTATAATTATAAATTTTTAATTAATTAATTATAAAAGCAAAATTAATAAAACTAAAATTTATTACCTCGTCAAGATTATCAAAAATTGATCTCTGATTAAATCCGTCTATGATGCCTTGAAAAGTAGTCGCATATTCTCCATTGGAAGTTGCTGTGTGAATATACAATCGATTTGGAGTAGTTGGACCAGGAACGCTCGCATACCATCCGTCAAACAGCGCGAAATTCTTTGCCAGCTCATATGTGACCGGCAAATCAGTCGGCTTGAATGCGTTCATAACATGTTTCAATCTTGCGACATCAGTCTTGTTAATATTCGCGGTTCGTGCAAAACTTTGTAGGAAACCGGACATTGGTGGAACACCGGTAATTGGAGTTCTGGGATCTCCTCCTTGTATGCCAGTGATTTGCTCGTATACATCGGGAATTCCATGACCTGGGTCATCTGGATCGACGTAGACTGCATCATTCGTAGCGTAAATGTTTTGACCATTCGGGTTTTTGGTGTCTAATAAATTGTATTCTTTGCCGGTTAAACCGCGAATTTCCTCAGAGTAATTAAAATATCCGGCTATTTTTGAAAATGAGCGGTTTTCAAGAACTATCAAAACGACGTTTTTTATTTTCTTATCTAGGCTATTGTTATCTGAAAGAGCTTTTGTCGTAAAGCAACAAAGCAACAAAAAGCTTGAGATTCTAAATTTCATTATGTAATTTTTATTAGCAAATTGATTCGAGAGAATGAATTCAAATTCAACTCTTTAAGTATCACTCAATTTATAACGATAGGAAATGTTGTTTTTAGTACAGGTATAACTTTATGTACAAGCACATTAATGTATATATGCGTAAAATTTTGCAGCTTTTTAGGCATCACTCAATTTATAACGATAGGAAAACTTTGTTAGTCGTTTTTAGTACATGTAATAACTTTATGCTATAAAAGGTATTAAAGAATTTTTGATCCTTTTTACATGTTATTCAATAAGCTATTTAATAGTTGACACGTTGCTTACGAATAAACCTTATGACTACATGACTTCATGTATAAGTCATAAGCCCATGTACCCCATAAATTAATTAATATAGCTATTTCTCAAATCGGCTGTACATTTGTGTTCTGTTTATCATTTTCTTTTAAATTACTAAACAAAATAACGGAAATTAATAAAATCAAATTATTACATGTAATTCAATTATTTATCAAAAACTCAATTGAAATTTGTTATAACTATCATATTCATTTATATAATTCCCATCGTAGCTCGTTACATAAAATATCTAAAACAAGCATCTTTTGTAAATTTTATGATAAAAACGTGTTCTTATTATCATAACTTAGGAGTGCCATGCCAAGCCAAGCCAAGCCTAGGATCGATCTTTATCGTTATTTAAAGAACAACATTAAGCCTCTAACAATTTGTCAGCTTTTTTGAAAGCAGTAACCAAGTGACTAATAAATATTGAGGAAACAAAATTTCCAAAAAATAGTTGCAGGCACAGCTCAAATAATTTTAATGACTACTAACGCTTATTCAACGCTTGAACATATTAAGCCTCGAATTTTGCATGTATTCGATAATAAGTGCCTAACTAAATAATAGAATAAAGTTTTCCTAACCTTAATCTTTTAATTAATTCAACAAACTCTCTATAAACAAAAGCTTAAATAACTTTTTTCAAAAATCTTATCCTTCGATAAATATAGAATATGCTAGAATTATCAATTTATTGCCTTTAAAAGTGGCTATTTGAAACAGTAACAAAGAAGAATGTTGAAAAATAGAATCTTAGAAAAGATAAGATTGCCGAACATAATTCAGTAAGTGTATTTTATATATCTAAACAAGTATATAAACTCAAACACATAAAAGATATTCTCAAATCATATTCTCTGATAAAATATGAATTATTCTAAAATTTATGATCTCTCCGCGTTACATCATAGCTGTACTACTTAGCTCCTATGCAGGAACATGTACATGAATAACTCTTACCTTAACCGATATTTTTTGTGATCTTGTGATTGCGCTCAAGTTATGGCTTCTTTACGCAAAAATATGAACATGAAAAATACAGAATAAAATATTAAATTAATATCAAATGCTTTCAACGTTAATATTTTCTTATAAATAGGCGTACTTTTTAACAGTTAAAAAATAAAAGTCACAAACAAATGTTATTCACACATCAACAAATGAATTTTCAATCATTTATAATACGTGATTAATTTCTGGACCTAACGTGAACCTGATAATCGGTAATCAAATTTGTTCCGACTAGAAACCTATATACATAGCTTTTCGTCTTTTTTGTAGCATACGAAAATTTAATTACCTCTTTATACATTTCAAGCTTCACATTCAGGGTGAATATGTGGAGGTGACATTGTTGCTTGGGATTGAAGCAATAAGAGTTCAAGGCTTCATCTCTATACGTAGGACTAAGTGATAACCGCATTCCAGTAATGTTTAGCTTCTTCGAATCATCAACTATCTTTGAAGCATTGCTTTTAATTCTAAGATTTTCTTGAATTGCGATTACATTTTGCCAATTGTCTCACTTGTACAGTTGATTTGATTACTTTTTTGCTTGAATTTTCTAGGTGAACACATTTGTTAGTTGCGATATATTTATAATATTGTTTTTATTCAATCTCTAAAATAATAATTTCAATCACACATTAATTATCAAACTTGAGTGATTGCCGTTTTATAGCGGGAAAGGTAGCATTGAGTTGTAGCGTTTTACAAATGTCGGCGAGAACCGAGTGATAATATAATTAATTTGGGTAGTTCAAGA